AAATTCTTGAAGCCAGGTGAGTGGGTCCTGGGTTCCATCACCAAGGAAGGGCTCTACTGTGATTAATGTTTGTTCAGAAACAGTTCCTAAAGCAGTGGTCAGTGCAGTTATAGCAGTAGCAGCATCTCGTAAAGCTTGATCACCCATATTGGCAGGAGAATTAAGAGGATTGAGAGGTGGTGGTAGGGGTAAGGGTATAACAAGAGTTTGATAAACAGGAGGTGGAGAAGGTGGGGCAGTGTAGACAAGGTCAGCTAGGTCAATATTTAATTCGTGGTCTGAGTCTGGTTCTTCATTACTAGAATTTCTAGGTTCAAGAATATTTTTTTGGTCAGATGAATAATTCAAGAAGGAGTATCATTAGTTTCTGGTAGGGTTTGGTGAGTGACTTCTTCACTATATAGGGGAAGGTTATCTTCTGGTTCATAGAAGTGATGAGTGTCTTCTAGTAAGGCAGTTATGTGAACACTGTTGTCTGTAGAGGTGGCTTGTAAGATAGAGCTTCCTAAATTTCTAAGAATTGACTAAAGTTTCCTGGTTCTTCAAAACTAAAAGTTTGAGGTTCGTTAAGATAATAGTCAAAGGTGTTTTGGTATTGGAATGGTAAGGTAGGAAGTTGAAGGAGAGGAGTATGTCATTGAAGAAGTGTAAGGGCTATGTCTTGGAGGTTGGAAAGTGCAGTTGTATAGTAACAGCTAAAAATAATATCCCGGATTGCTATATGAGTATTAGTATAATTGATAGTACTGGTAAGTACAGCAAAAGCATCTTGGGTCCTTCGAGAATAAAGTAAGGCTGAGTAGTGAAAGTTGTAAAAGGTCCAAAATCTTTTAAAAGGTGTATAAGGACTTGTTCGATGAGGGTAATAGCAATCAGTGCAAGAAAGGTCTAGGTAGCATAATTGTAATACATCTAAAGCTATATGTCCTAAGTCTAAATATGCTTGCTGATGGTTATAAATATATTCTCAATGTAACTTGTCAGCAGTTTGTACCATATGCTAAGAAGGAAGTTGCTAGTATAGCAATTGTCTAAGGTCTACTAAGAAGAGGAAAACGGCTCACGTGCTGAGACAGATGTCCAGTAATTTCAACAAAAATATGGCTTACGTGCTGGAGACAGATGTCCAGAAAATTTAAAAATATGGCTCACGTGCTGGAGACAGATGTTTAGAGATTTCAAAAATACAGCTCGCGTGCTGGAGACAGATGTCCAGAAATTACCAAAGAGGAGAGATAGAGGAGAGGTGCAGAGGGATTTAATTATATTTCCGCCAGAAGGCACCAAATGTTACAGTATCATGGCCTTCTTAACAGCAGTACTATAACAATGACACAGCTACAGGGATCCTTTACAGATTTATAGCAGTGTCCAAGAGGTAAGTATAATTCCTTAGTCTGTAAGAAACTATACCTTTCTCTCTAAGGCAGTTCAGTAAAACAAGAGGATAATAGTTTATATTTTAAACAAGATAACAAGCCTTGCCTGTAGGAATTACCCTAGAGGGGGAATGTTATATACTTTTAT